CTATGCATCAGAGAGTTGGTCAATGATTAAGGATGACAGAAGAATTGGTACGTTTGAGTTGTGATGCTGGAGAAGAAGTTTTGAACATACCATATACATGGACAGCCAAGAAAATAAATAAGTCTGTCTTGAACATGGTGAAACCAAGTTTCTCCTTGGAGGCTAAGATTTTAAATCCCCATCTCACATTCTTTGGGTACGTGGCCAAGGGAGAGCAGTCCTTGGAGAAAGACATCATGGTCAGAAGGGTGGAGGGAAAGTGCAGGAGAGGAAGACCCAAGATGAGATGGATTGCTATGGGCAATAGATATAGGTATTTTGGAGTCAGTAAGAGTGGCTCAGGACAGAGAAGGCTTCAAAGTTGTTGTACATAGGGTTGCTATAGGTCACAGGTGACTTGACAGCACATAACAACAACAATAACAACAAGCCTATAATCGTGGGTAACTCTCATTTGCTTTCTCAAATGTGTTCTCCTTGCATGCCTTCTTATGTTTCTGGTCATAAATACAGTTTAGTATTATTGTTAATTGAGTATTGTGTAAGTAATAATCTTTATCCTTGTTAAGGTTTATTCAGTGATTTCTTTTGCTGTTAATCATACACTTCTCCAAAGACATTCAAGACACAAAGGAAAAATGCTCACTATCATTAACCATCAGTGAGACAAATCAAAACATTAATGAATTATGATCCTATCCTAACAATAGCATCAAAAGTTCAGAAAATAGCTACTGTTGCCAAGGATGTGAGAGATTGGAACTTTCATTACTGGTGGGACTGTAAAATGGTATAATCATTGAGGAAGATTGAAGGACACTTCCATAAGTGGAAAATAAAAATATTTTATGATCAACAATTCCTCTATTAGGTGCATATTTTAGAGAAACACAATCAATGCAAACAACAGATATAAATACACTTACGCTCATCATAGAACACAGAAGTGTGCCATGGACTGCCAAAAAAATAAAGAGGGATATCTTGGAGTAAGTACAAGTAGAGTGCTCCTTGGAAGCAAGGATAATGAAGCTTCATATCAAATATTCTGGTATGTTGCTAGTAGGATCTTTTCCTTAGAAAGGGATATAATGTTTTGAAAAATTGGAGAGTCAACAAAGAAAGGAAGATCCTCAAGGATAGAAAGAGAGGATGACCCTCAATGGTACAGACCGACACAGTGCTACAGCAATGAGATCAAGATATGATGAATATGACACAGGATAGGACAGAGTTCAGATCTATTGTTCAAGGGTTGCTACGAATCATATTTGTCTTTAGGGCATCTAACAGAAACAACAATATACTAAGCATGATGAGTTCTGATGGCATAGTTTGTAACATATTGAGCTGGTGAATGAAAGATAAGTGATTTTAATCTATCAGTCACTCTGTGAGAGAAAGGTGAGAAGTCTCCCTGCATAAAGATTTACAGGCTCAGAAACCCAGTGAAGGGTCCCTATGAAGTGAGATCAATTTGGTAGCTATGAGATGCTCATCATATCACATCACGTCACTTCACACAATCAAAGAGGTAAAAACTACTTAAGTGTTCATCAATGAATGAATAGATAAAGAAACACACACACACGCACACACATAGTTGAAAGGTACAGAATATAAAAGAATAACAATCTATGAAACATCTTCTGACATGAATCAGACTAGAAAATATGCTGAGTGAAATTAGTAAAACACATAAAAATATATATTACTATTATAACAAAAAAGTTTAAGAAAAGGTTTATACAAATAAAGGAACAATTTGATGCTTATCAAGAATGAGAAGGAATGGATTCCCGGTCGTGTGGATTTGGAGTTTATTGCAGTGGAGGTGGTAGAAACCACGTAACCATGTCAGCTTCAGCTGTGGAGGCAGTTAATGCTGCCCCTTTGTCTGGTTCCAAAGAAATGAGTTTGGAAGAACCAAAGAAGATGACCAGGGAGGACTGGAGAAAGAAGAAAGAGCTAGAAGAACAGCGGAAACTGGGTAATGCTCCTGCTGAAGTAGATGAAGAAGCAAAAGACATCAATCCTCATATTCCTCAGTATATTTCCTCAGTAACGTGGTATATTGACCCATCAAAAAGACCTACATTAAAGCATCAAAGACCCCAGCCAGAGAAACAGAGGCAATATAGCTCATCTGGAGAATGGTACAAGAGGGGTGTGAAAGAGAATTCCTTAACTACTAAGTATCGTAAAGGTGCATATGAAAATTGTGGAGCCATGACACAGAAAAAGAAAGACTGCTTTGAAAGACCTAGGCGAGTTGGAGCAAAATTTACAGGTACTAATATAGCTCCAGATGAACATGTCCAGCCTCAGCTGACCTTTGACTATGATGGGAAAAGGGATCGGTGGAATGGCTACAATCCAGAAGAACACATGATGATTGTAGAAGAATATGACAAACTTGATCTGGCAAAACAAACACTCAAAGCCCAAAAACTGCAAGAAGAATTAGCTTCAGGAAAATTAGTAGAACAAGCTAATTCCCCAAAACACCACTGGGGAGAGGAGGAACCAAATTCTCAGATGGAAAAAGAACATAATAGTGAAGATGAGGATGAAGATAAATATGCAGATGATATTGACATGCCAGGACAGAATTTTGACTCTAAGAGACGAATTACTGTGTGAAATCTCCGGATCAGAGAAGATATTGCAAAATATTTGAGGAATTTAGATCCAAATTCTGCTTCTTATGATCCCAAAACTAGAGCGATGAGAGAGAATTCCTACGCGAATGCAGGAAAGAATCCAGATGAAGTTAGTTATGCAGGAGATAACTTCGTCCAATACATAGAAGATACCATCTCAATGGCTCAGACACAGTTGTTTGCTTGGGAAGCCTATGATAAGGGATCTGAAGTGCATCTTCAAGCAGATCCTACAAAGTTAGAGCTATTGTATAAATCATTCAAAGTTAAAAAAGAAGATTTCAAAGAACAGCAGAAAGAAAGCATCCTGGAAAAGTATGGTGGCCAAGAACATCTGGAAGCTCCGCCAGCTGAACTGCTTTTAGCTCAGACTGAGGACTATGTGGAGTACTCAAGACATGGAACGGTGATCAAAGGACAGGAGCAGGCTGTCGCCTGCTCCAAGTATGAGGAGGATGTAAAGATCAACAATCACACGCATATCTGGTGATCTTACTGGAAAGAAGGCCGATGGGGATACAAATGTTGTCATTCTTTTGTGAAGTATTCTTATTGTACTGGAGAAGCTGGGAAGGAGATTGCCAATTCAGAGGAATGTATACCAGGCGATGCAGCTGGAGAAGAGTCCATGAAGAAACCTCAAACTCTCATGGAGATGCATCAAGAAAAACTGAAAGAGGAGAAAAAGAAGAAGAAGCATCGAAAGAGCAATTCAGATAGTGATAGTGAAGAAAAACATGAAAAACTGAAAAAGGCACTGAATGCAGAAGAGGCCCGCCTTCTTCATGTCAAGGAGATCATGCAAATCAAAGAAAGGAAGCAGCCTTATAATAGCATTTATGAAACCCGGGAACCAACGAAAGAGGAAATAGAGGCCTATAGAATGAAGTGTCAGAGGCCTGATGACCCCATGGCTTCCTTCCTTGGCCAATAGTAATTGGTCTTTGGATGGTATCCATGATGGACAGCTTATACGTTTTTTCAGCTTGCTGATAAACATAGATGGAAAATTCTTGTCTGCTCTTATTACTATCTAACAGTAAGAAAACTTCCAGAAGTAAAAAAAAAAGAATGAGAAGGAATGGAAAGGTAAATTACTAAGCAGAGACTCTCATTGCTATTGAGTAGTACCTAACTCACAGTGGCTTCCCAAGGCTGTTAAACACCCTGGATGTAGTTGTCCATCTTTCTCCCTGTAAGGAGTTGCTGGTGCATTTGCACCACCAGAGCCTTTGGGTTAGTAGCATAGCTCTTTGTGCCACCAGAGTTCTTTAACTCTGAAAGAGTAGACATATATTAACCTGTAACCAGAGTCTTAAAGGATCAAGACAAGCAAAGAAATATTATTTCAGACAGAGGAAATAGTGGTTAACAATAAAAGCTTGTGGGTTTTTTTCCCTCTTCTTTTCTTTCCTGACATACAATAATCTTCAATGAAACTAGCTCCTGTACAACAAGTTACTAATCAGATGTAGCAAACTCAAAAGTCTTTCCCGAAGCAGAAATGAAGGAGACCTGGATGGTGGAGCACTGAGAAGTCAAGAGCATTCCAGGTCCAAGGGGGCAGCTCTGACTGACTGCTACCAAGTGGGGCTGAGGGACAGGATCCCATTCTTTAATGTAGGCTATGATACAGGCCATGGTCTTTGCAATCACTTGTTATGCATCAGAGCGTTGGACAATTAATGACCATGGAGGATGGAAGGAGAATTGATGCCTTTGAGATGTGGTGCTGGAGAAGAGTACTGAATGTACCGTGGACTGCCAAGAAAACAAACAGATTCATCCTGGAGAGGGTTAAACCAGGCTACTCCTTGGAGGCAAGGATTCTGGGGCTTCGTCTGACATACTTGAACATGTTGTAAGGAGAGACAGGTTCTTGAAGAGGGACATCATGCTTGGTAGGGTGGAGGGACAGCGCAGAAGGGGAAGACCCTCTATGAGGTGGATTGATTC